CTGTTCTCCGAAACCACGCTCCCAGAACAGAAGTTCCCAAAAGCTTGCTTACATCAATCTATTGTTGAATTGTATCAACCTGCCCTTAATCAAACCCTGAATAGAATCTTTGATCTCAATTGTTAAAACTTTATGAATTGATCATTAGGTCACGTAGCCCCTCTCCCATTTACTTGCATGTATCCCATTTTCAATAAAAAGGCACGATATTTCCTAGCAGTTGTCACTCCGCAGAGAGCGATCTTAGAGGAGTGTCCGACTTAGGACGTGCATGAAAAAGCGCGAGGCCTTTGTCTTTCTTTTCTTCCAGCGTCGCCTCCGTCGAACCAACCCACCCCCGCCGAGGCTGGTCCCCGGCAACCTGGCGTGAGTTTAAGCCACTGGGTCTGGGATTTGAACGGCAGTCGACGGCATGGGAATCCAGTGACATAGCCATTATGCCAATTGCTGGTCCCTCATTATTATTAAGGTTGATCAGAGAGACACACAGAGGGAGAGAGAAAGTGAGAAAGCAGGCTGCTGGGTCCAGGACTCAAACCACAGTCAGCTATGTGGAAGTCTAGCACCTTGACCATCACACCACTTGCTGGCCCAATTATTTTTAAAAGTTGACCAGAGTGACAGAGAGGCAGGGAGGCAAAGTGAGAAAGCAAGCTGCCAGATTCAAGACTTGAACTGTGGTAGGCCACGTGGGAGTCCAGAACCTTAACTACTACACCCCTGCTCGCCCCCAGATGAACTAATTATTAAAGAATTTTTCTGGGGCCAGCAGGTGGCGTGGTGGTTAAGGGCGCTGGACTCCCACATGGTCGACCACGGGTCGAGTCCCGGACCTAGCAGCTTACTTTCTCACTTTCTCTCTCTCTTTCTCACTCAGTGTCCCTCTCTGGTCAAATTAAAATAAATGCACAAATAAAATTAAATAAAATAATTAAAAACAAAAGAATTTTTCTTATAACTAGTATAGCCTAAATAAACTGTTTACAGTCTAGTCCCGCACTTCTGTCCAAGGTGTTCGGATTCACCCACTACCCAGCTCAGACTTACTCAGAGCAATTCACAGGCCTGTCGGCTCCGTTCGTGGAAGGCATCCTAGACAGGTATGCCATTTTCATATCAAAGTTTTTCTTTTGAGATTTTTTTCTATAGGGCATGTGCACTGGTGGGAAAAGACAGAAGAGAAAAAGCACCCCCTGGAGGGATGGCCATATTGCAATCCCTTCTCTATTCTCCTCTCAGAATCTCGGGCACACATGCCCAGTGTGTTTTAAGCTGCCAGGTCCAGGACTCAAACTGTGGGTGACTATGTGGGAGTCCACCGATTTGACCATTTTACCATCTGCCAGCCCCTCGTACCATATTTTTAGAAATACATAAGATACACCTACACTTAGCATCGTGCCACAGTCACCTACTGGATCCCCGCACAGTTCAGCACGCACAGGCCTTAAGCTTGAGCCAGAAGCCACACCCCAGAGCCTAGGTGCTAGCAGGCTGTAAGCCTAGGTCTGTGTAAGAGCATTCTGACACTGACAGGAGAGACTGCCTACCTGGGTTTTTGCTATAGGGCGCGTCCGATCACCAGACAGACAGAGAGAAACAGACAGAAAGCGAGAAATCACCCCTCCAGGGGGGATGGCCACGCCACAATCCCCACTTCCCCATTCTCCTCTTGGGATCTTGGGCACGCTCACACATGCGCCTGGCTGAGTTTTATTTTAAGGCGTCTGGGACGCGAACCTCGATCAGCTACATGGGAGTCCAGCAACATAGCCATTATGCTAACTGCTGGTCCCACATTTTTTCTTTCTTTTATAGAGATTTTTTTTTTGCTATAGGATTCCTACGCTCACCAGGGACAGAAAGTAAAGTCACTTGCTGGGGATAGGGCTACACTGCAATCCTTTCTCCTTTTTTCTCAGGATTTTAGGCATGTATGTACATGTGTCCAGCTTGAGTTTCAAGCCACCTGCTGGCCCACTGTGCATGTCTTAGAATGTATCCTTGTTTTTGGGAGCAGCAGATGGAATAATGGTTATGTCGCCGGACTCCCACGTAGTTGACAGCCATTCGAGTCCCAGACCCAGCAGTTTAAAACTCATGCTGGGTGCATGTGTGTGTGTGGCGAAGATCCAGAGAAGGGATTGTGGTGTGGCCACCGAGGGGTGATTTCTGGCTTCCTGTCTCTCTGGTGAGCACATGTGCCCAATAGCAAAAATCTCTTAAAAAAAAAAGTATCCTTGTCATTCAATGATGTGTGATCATATCTAATTACTGTTCAGATGAGAAATCTGAGATTTCCCTGTTTGGAGGGAAATCTCTTTGGAGTTCCCACTGCACTTCATGAAAGGATCTAAGCAATTTTGTAGAGAAGAAATCAGTTTTAGGGGGCCAACAGGTGGCATGGTGGTTAAGGCACTGGACTCTCATGGCTAACAGTAGTTTGAGTCCCAGTTCCAACAGGCTTAGAAATCACACTGGCCACGTGTGTGTGCGTGCCCAAAAATCCCAACAGGAGAAGGGATTGTGGTATGGCTATCCCCCCAGGGAATGACTTCTCACTTTCCCTCTCTTCAGCAAGTGGACCAGGACCCCACAGCAAAAATCTAAAGAAAAGAAAAAAAAAAAAAAAAAACCAGTTTCACTTTTTTAACCAGATTTCCGCCAATTTATTTGAGCACAAGCTACCTGGGAAACAGATTCTGGGAACCGTAGAAACCATCTGTAAGATCAAGTTCTCCAGGGTTTGGCTCCCCTAGTTCTGCCATCTTTCTGTTTAGGCCCCCATCCTGAGCCACAGTCAAGTTCTTCTGGTTCAGGAAACATGTCAGGCAGGCCTCTGAGCCTGTGCCTGCTGTTTCTTGAAATGTACAAGTTCTCTGTCCAGCTGGGAACCCCAACTCATGCTCCAACCTAGCATATCACATAATCTATCCAATTTCCTTAACTCTCCCAGGCACAAGAAATCACTCCTGCCTGTGCTTCCAAAGCATTTTATTCAAACTTCATTCACTGTATTAAAAGTAATTGGTCTGAGAGCTTTACCAGCCTGCTGGTTTCTTCATTAATGAGTTCGAGTCCTGAGTACCGGGATTCAGTGGCTTAAAACTCATGCTGGGTGCATATGTATTCATGTCCAAATCCCGAGAGGAGAGTGAAGAGGAAGGGACTGCAGTGTGGTCATCCCCTTTGGGGAGGGATTTCTCGCTTTCTACCTTTCTGTCTCTCCAGGAGAATGCATATATTCTATAGCAAAAATCTCTCTCTCAAAACAAAAATAAAAACCCGGGACCAGCAGTTAGCGTAATGTATATGTCCTGGACTCCCATGTAGCCAACCGCAGTTCGTGTCCCGGACCCAGTGGCTTAAAACTCACGCCGGGCGCGGGTGCGTGCGTGCCCAAGATCCCAAGAGGAGAATGGAGGAGAAGGAATTGCGGCGTGACCATCCCTCTGGTGGGTATTTCTCGCTTTCTGTCTCTCTGGTGAGCACATGCGCCCTATAGCAAAAAAATCTCTCCAAAAACAAAACAAACAAAAAACACAAAACCTCCAGCAAACGAAAACGATGGCTAAAGAAGGACTGCACTGTATCTCTGATCTCAGCAAACCCACCATGTCTGTCACATGCTGGCGGCTGGCGTGTAGAAGCATTACGTCCCAGGATCAGCGTAAGACTAACGATGGTTCAGGTCTGTGAGGGCCAAGCCTAAGAACAGGCTCTTGTAGGTCTTCTTTGTCACTTTTCAGCAGCTCTACTTCTAATAGGAGCAAAAAACGTGTTACCTGTAAATAATTATTGTTTGTCATTTTCATGGAGATGAGAAAACCTAAAAACACAGAAAAGGGTGGAAAAAAATGCCCAGGCAAACAGCTTCCTAGAAATTCAAATGGACAGGATCACCTGGCCACATCATGCAACCCAGTGCCAAAGAAAAGGCAGCAATAAATCCAATCCACGTGGCGCTCGTAAAAAGGCATCTATTTGGCTTTTAATATAAAACGACTCAGAGACACACAGAAAGAAAAATACCATACAAGCCAGTAAGTGAATCAGGAAAAAGCAAAAACATTAAATCCCAACTGATGAATTTCAGTCACATTCCCACCTCCCACCTGGATTAGAACATGGGAAGCTATAAACCAGCCAGTATCTGTTTCTTTGATGAAAACTGATTTAAAACAAAAACAAAAACAAAAAACGCACACACACACAAAACCCCAAACAGTCCCTGAAGCCTGAAGTCTGGCGGGTGGGTTTGGGAGGCCACTGTGAGTGTGCCCATGTCATCCTGGTGAAAGGAGGCCCAAGCGGTCGCTGGGGTCTGGCCCGCGCCTGGTTTCTTGCCAGTGAAGGCCGTCTGCAGGGCGGTGCTGGCCGGGCACTCACTGTTCTATGCCACTGATGCGGTCTGTGGTCTCAAGCTCAAGTAGCCTTGGGGTCTTCCGTTCCACATCTTCACTGGATCTCCCCCATATACAGTCTCTTGTCGCTGGATGCTGAGAGAACTGAGATAAAGAGAACAGAGAATATCACCAGACATAATGAAGGCTCGAGGAGATGTGCTACTCGAGGGCTCTTGTGTCAAGAGACAGTTTTTTTTTTTTTGAGAGGTTTTTGCTATAGGGCGCGTGCGCTCGCCAGACAGACAGAGAGAGACAGAGAGACAGAAAGTGAGAAATCACCCCCGGGGGGATGGCCACGCCACAATCCCTTCTCCTCCGTTCTCCTCTCGGGATCTTGGGCACGCACGCACACGCGCCCAGCGTGAGTTTAAGCCACCGGGTCCGGGACGCGAACCGCGGTCGACTACATGGGAGTCCAGCGACACGGCCCTTACGCTAACTGCTGGTCCCCAGAGCCGGTTTTGATATAAAAGAGCACCGGATCGAGCTCAAGTCCCTTCCTGAACACCAGCCCCAGGGAGCTGTAGCCTAGCTTCTCACCCCAAGTTTCTCTGAAGCAGGAGGCTCGCCGTGCTGTGGGAAGCACATTATCAGGTGCTGAATCCTGATGTCTGATGTCCGGGTAAGCCAAACCCCAAGAGAAAGACCTTCCCAGTCATTCTAGGAGAGGGCAGTCCACGTTTGTGCCTCTGCTTGTTACACTTAGCCCTGAATGAAGAAAGCTATGCTTTCTCTTTAAATTCAAGGCGCATTACTTGGTCCATCTAGCCAAGACTTTTTTTTTTTGCTATAGGGAATATGTATTTGCTGAAGGGGAGAGCGGGGACGGGGCAGTGAGAAAGGTCCCGGGGGGATGGCCATACCATAATCCTCCATTCTCCTCCCCCTCCACTCTCCTCTCAGGATTTAGGGCATATATGCACATGTGCCCTGCGTGTTTTCCTAGCCACTGGGTTGGGGACTTGAACTGCACAGTTAGCCATATGGTATCCAGCCACCTAACCTCCACACCATCTGTTGTCCCTTAGCCAATAACATTTTTATTTTTAAAAGAAATATTTTTCTTTCTGGAGAGCTCACGTGCCTTATAGCAAAAACCTCTCAAAAAAAAAAAAAAAAAAAAAGGATTATTTTATTTAACTTAACTTTATTTATTTAATTAGACCAGAGAGGGACAGAGAGCGAGTGTGCGAGCGTGCACGCGTGTAAGCCAGCTACCAGGTCCAGGACTCAAACTGCAGTTAGTCATGAGGGAGTCCAGCACCCTTAACCACCATGCCACTTACTGCCCCCCACCCTTCTGAAAGAATTATTTTATTCTTTTGAGTTTACTTCAAAGAGAGACTCAAAAGACCTAGAATTAGGTAGACCAACTAACCTGTTTGAAAGTGAGAAGAAAATGGAACATTGTGCCCTTCCCACTTAGAACAATCGAGATTTCCACTGATACAGATTAAAGCATATGCGGAAATTCACGTAAAACAAACTCCACTCTGCTCCCGTATTCCCAGGGCCCCTCTGGGAGACTGGCACACCCACCCCCACACTCAGGACGGACTTACTGACGGGCTCGTCGGGGTGGAAAGCCACTTCGTTGACGGAGCCTGCGTGGCCAGGCAGTTTATACAATATCCTCCTGCTGGTGGTGTCCCACACGTACACAAACCTGCGAGGTGTCATGAAGAACAGGGTGAGGCTCCCAGGGCAGGCACAGGCACAAACATGACCTCTTTTTTTGAGAGAGAACTGTTTTTTTTTTTTTTTTTTTAAAGACAGTGATTTTTGCTATAGGGTGTGGGTGTGCGCACTCACCAGAGAGACAGAAAGAGGCAGAGAGACAGAAAGTGAGAAACCACCCCCTAGGGGGGATAACCACGTTGCAATGCCCTCTCCATCCTCCTCTCGGGATTTTGGCCAGGTACCTGGCATGAGTTTCAAGTTGCTGGGTTTAGGAGTCATTCTGGGGTCGACCACATGGGAACCGAGAGCCTTAATTACTACACGACCTGCTGGCCCCACGCATGGCTTTTTAATGGAAACGGAAGCAACAACCAATCACTCACCCCACATCTACTGAATGCAGTTGTAGCTTCTAGAAACTGGAACATAAGAGTTTGAGTAAGACATAGACCCTACCCTTGAGTAACTAAGTAGAGAAAGAACAGCTAAAAATAAAGGCATTTCTGATTTTTATAAATGCAGGCTTCTGAGAGGGACAGACAGTGGAGAAGCCATCATCAAAGAACACCTGGTACAGGACTGGCTCGGTGGAGCAGTGGTGCAGTGTTATGCACTGGGAGCGGGATCCCACGTGGCCGACTGCAGCTTGACAAACAGGCTGGGCGACACGCACCCCGAATCCTCACGGATGCAGAGGTACAGGTAAAAAGACAGCAGCACGAACACATCCCACTGGGGCACTCCCTCCTTCTCTACGTGGTAAGCACAAGTGTCTTCTGGCAATCAAAAAACAAAGTGGGGGGCAGCCAGTGGCTGTGGTGGCTGGATCCCAAATGGCTGTGTGGTTCGAGTCCTGGACACAGTGGCTTGAAGAACATGCTAGGTACACGTACACAAGTTGACAAGACAGTGATTTCTCACTTTCCCTATCTCTCCCTGACTCTCTCCAGTGAACACGTGTGCCCTATGGCAAAAACTAAAAAGTAAGGGCATCTAGTACGCCTAGGCTATCGCGAACCTCAGAATTATGCAGGTCTGTTTGAAAGGTGATCCGATTTGTGGCAGACAGAAAGACTACGCTGTCAATCCAGTTGAACGTTTAGTATTGTATTCAAACCATAGAATTAAAACAGGAATTATTTAATTTTACTTCTTATTCTTCCATTTGACTGGAGAGAGAGAGAGAGAGAGAGAGAGAGAGAGAGAGAGAGAGAAAGCAATCCATCAGGTCTGGGACTCAAACTATGGTTGGCCATGTGGGAGTCCAGCGTCCTAAGCACTTGTCAGTCCCATATTATTCAAACACTTCAAGATCCCGAGAAGAAAACGGAAGAGAAGGAATAGTGGCGTGGCCATCCCTCCTGGGGACGATTTTGCACTTTCTCTGTTTCTGTCTTTCTGACGAGCGCATGTGCCCTATAGCAAAAACCTCTCTAAATAAACAAACAAATAAAAAGAATTGTTTATTTAATGTCACTGTTACTATTATTCCATTTTAAAATTTGACCTGAGAGAGATTGAGAGAAAGGAAAGTGAGAAAGCAAGGCGCTAGGTGCAAGACTTGCACCGCAGTTGGCCATGTGGGAGGACAGTGCTTTAACCAGTGTGCCACATGCCAGCCCCAAATACTAAATTTTTATACTATATTTATTCAAATAGACCCCGAAGACGGGATAGAAAGTTTATTTTATAAACATAACCCCAAATTCCCTTGAGCCCAACTTGCACTAAATTCACGGGAAGAAAAAACACGAATTCTAGAATGGGAAGGGGCCGACAGAAATCAGCTAGCCTAAACTCACTTCACAAATAAGAAAACCAAGATTCAGGGGCTTTTCCAAGGTGACACAGCTCATCTATAAAACTAAAACTTTTAATATATTCTAATATTTTCTTTTCTTACTATCTTCAAATACCTAGGTCAAAAAAAAAAAAAAAGTTCCTTTGGCCCTCAACCTTGCCCGAGTTGTTTAGGTTAAAAAAAAATATATATATATATGTTACCTTCATATGACTATGCAAAAGTAATGTTAGTAGACTTAAAGAGTTGGTGATTTGGGACCAGCAGTTAGTATAATGGCTATGTCGCTGAACTCCCATGTAGCCAACTGCGGTTTGAGTCCCGGACCTGATGGCTTAAACTCACACCGGGTGCGTGCCCAAGATGCTGGGAGAATGGAGGAGAAGGGATTGCGGTGTGGCCATCCCCCCGGGATGTGATTTCTCGCTTTCTGTCTGTCTTTCTGGTGAGTGCATGTGCAGCACAGCAAAAAACCTATCCGCCCACCCCCCCCAAAAAAAAAGAGCTGCTGGGTTTTCAATAGGAACGTTATTTGTTTTGTAACCCAGTAGTGCTTGTCCTGGAAAATAAAGGGCACACTCACCAGAACTGGGTTATACAACACCTAGTCCTGATCCAACACTACAATTTTGGTTACAATGCGAACAAACTAGAGGTTCTTAATTACAAGTAATTAAGTTCCCACGGGCTTGGTTCCACAGGAACTAAATAAAAGTTCCAGATTAGATGAAGAGAGGCAGGAAGCTCATCTGTCTGGACTCCTTGGCTCTGATGCTAATGCCCTCCCCCTACTCTCTTCTTTCCCGCCAAGTACAAATGACGGGTCCTCTTTAATTCAACTACGTAGTGTGGCACAGTGAATGAATATGAGCTTTGGAGTCAAGAAGACCTGGGTTCAAGTCTCGGTACAACTATTTACAGGCTAAGTAACCTTACACTATTATTTAACTTCTCTGAGATTCTGTCCTCAGTTACGATCATAGAGAAAATACTGTTCTTGCAGACCCACTGTAAAAAACGAGATCACATATACAGCTGCCCACAGAATTCATGACAGCTCTTGCTAATAGGAGCTACATTCGCCACGAAAGCACTATCACATGAAGTCATCAGACTGAGCGAGTCTGTTGGCCGAGGCTGGCCAGCCCTGTTACAGCCCTCGTTGAGGGTTTCAGCAAGGTGAGAGGGCTTCTACCTAGAGAGGAAAAGTCTCCAAATCCAGGACAAGCTGGAAAGCAGCCTTCTGAGAAGGAAGGATACATTTCCGAGGTACGTGAAAGACAGCAGAACCCCAGACCTCCAAGGGTTTACTTCAAGGCCTCGTTCTTGATAGCTGCCAATTAGGAGCTAAATTTAGAGGGGTTCCTGGTCCTCTCCTTCTTTTGGCATGGCAACATGCAGCAGGACAGGACCCAGGCTCCTTATGTAACAGAGCTGCTTGTGACTTGGGGCTAATTGGAAAGATGGCCTGTGAAATCTGGCCAACCCGCAGCAGGCAGAGAGGCGGGCTTCCTCAGGCCAGAGCCACGCCTCCGTAGGTAAAGGTTAAAGAGGAAGGGAGGGACAGAAGAAGAGAGTACCTTACAAGTCAGTAAGCAAGAAGAACTGCACCGTCAGAAAGCAAACTTTATACATATAAAAATTAAAGACTAATCACATAGGAAATACACATAGTCTCCGCTAAAATTATGTAAAAATATTTAAATGGTTCTCACTCTGTCAGATTTCTAGGTATCTTAGTCTGTTTCGGAAGGCCTTTTGTAGTTACTTGAAAACTGAAAATCCCCTAATTAAGACCCTCTCTTGGGGCCGCCAGGTGATGTGGTGGTTACGGAGCAGGAACCCCACAAGGCTGAGTGCAGTTTGAGCCCCAGACCTGGCGGCTTGAAAATTATGCCAGGTGCATGTGTGTGCATGCCCAAAATCTCAGGAGGAGAATGGAGAAGGGACTGTTGCATGGCCATACCCCTGGGGGGTGATTTCTCACTCTCTCTCCTCCCTCCTCTGCAGTGGGCGCATGTGCCCTTTAGCAAATTGTTAGTTCCCCAGAGGGTGTATGTGCTCACTGCAAAGCAGAGCAAGAGAGAGAGCACACGTGTGAAAGAATGTGAGAAATTACCCTCCAGAGGGAATGGCCATGCTGCAATCTCTTCTCCCCCAGTCACCTCTTGGGATTTTATGCACACACGCACATGCAACCTGGCATGATTTTCAAGCCTCTGCTTCTGGGGCTTGAACCACAAAGTCATCCATGGAGGATCCACCTGCCTCAATCATCATGCCAACAGCTGGCCTCCTCTAGCAAATTCAAATAAGCAAAAAACCAAAACCAAACAAAAAAACCCTGTCCATCTTTCCTGTCACCTGGACATCCCTATTCAACCATTAAACCTCTGATTTCCCCCCAAGACAAGTCACCAAAGACGTACCAAATACAGCAGCATCTCAGAATAATTCTTTCCCTTCTTTTCTGTCAGGTTGTGTGTGTGCTTGTAAAAGAGACAGAGAGGAGAAAAGCATTTCCTAAAGAGGCTTGGTCATGTCACAATCCCTTCCTGGCATGTCCCTCAAGCAATCAGGGCTGGAATTAGAAACACGGATGGCCATGTGGGATTTGGTTCTGTTAACCAGTAGGATACAGGACCAGCTGATCCCCCTTACCCCTGCAATTGGCAGAGGTTGTGTTTGGTTGCTAGGGGCACGGACACCGTGCAATCAAAAAAGATTTTTTCTTCATTCCTCCCCACTGTTTTGGGCATGCACGCACATGTCCCTGGTGTGTTTATTAAGCTATTAGGGCTAGGACTCAAATCACAGTCAGCCATGTGGGATCCAGTCCCTCAGTCCCTGATACATAGTGCTCAACCATGTATGACAAGGTGGCCCGGAATTCTGTCCTTTCTGGCTCTCATTCACCTCTTTACGTCCGAGTCAGTTTTTTCTTTTTTTTCTTTTCTTTTTTTTTTTTTTAAAGAAAAGAGGGCCAGAAGGACAGAACAAGTGAGCAAGAGAAAGAGGGAAAGTGAGAAAGCAAGCTGTCAGGTCTAGGACTTGAACCGTGGCCAGCCATTTGGGAGTCCAGCGCCCTTAACCACCATGCCACCTGCCGGCCCCTGTCTGAGTCAGTTTAAATTCACATTTTAAAAAGCCCCAGTCTATTAATTCAGTGCAAGGGTGGAAAATACCTAGTCTACATGCTGACAGACCTTTCATCTAGCAATCACGGCAATGCCCACTGAACCTACATCTAGCTGGGAATTACCCTCAACACAGGCAGCCCTTACCAACAGTGAGCTGACAGGCAGGGCGAACTGTGACTGCCACCCTGGAGTCAGGAGTCCCATCACTGTAGTACTGACCAAGTACTTAGAGCAGCTCATGCATGACGAGCACTGCCCTGGGCTAACAGAGATGGTGGAAGCTCATTCCCTGACCTCTAGGAGCACAGTCAATAATTCAGTGGGAAGGGGAATGCCCGTGTCCGTCTGACTGAAGATGTAACAGAGGCCATGAAGGGGAGCTGTAGGAAGTACGAGTGCAACACACAGAACAGAGTATTAAGTCATGCCTGAGAGGTAAGGAGGAAAGAGGGCCAGGGGAAGTTCACAGACCTAACACAGAGGAGGTTACTGGAGAGAGATGGGAGCGTGCATAAAGAGAGGATATGAGAGAACCTGGAGGTGAGCGTGAACAGTGTAGACTGGCACAGGGAGAAGGCCGCATGTGATGCATGATGGTGATGGGCAGGGAGCGAGTGCTGCACATATATTTGAATAAACTGAACAATGCAAAAGAATCTCATGACAGAGCCTGAAGACAGATCATGAGCCTGAATTTTCATGGCAGAAAGAATTCAACAGAATCAAAGCTGCTGACCCTCTAAGATATATCCAGAGGATAGAAATAATGTCTGCCCAACATGTTTTCTTTTGGTAAAAGAATTATTTATTTAATTACATTTGCTGCTGTTGTTATTGTTATTTTGAGAGTTTTTTTTTTTTTGCTCTAAGGTGTGTGCACTCACCAGAAAGACACAGAAAGAAGAGAGAAATCACCCCCTGGGGGGGATAGCCACGCCACAGTCCCTACTCCTCCATTCTTCTCTCAGGATCTTGGGCATGCCTGCACATGCTCATGGAGTGAGTTTAAGCCACTGGTCCGGGACTCAAACCGCGGTCGGCTACATGGGAGTCCAGCGACATAGTTATTACGTCAACTGCTGGTTCCATTATTATTATTATTATTTTATTTAATCTGACTGGGAAGAGACAGAGAAAGAGAAAGGGAGAGCGGGAAAACAAGCCACCAGGTCTAGGACTCGAACTGTGGTCAGCCACGTGGGAATCCAGCCCCTTTAAGCACCACGCCACCTGCTGGCCCCCAAACATGGCTCTTATGGCCCCCACGCTGTGTGGGGCTTCGTCTTAGTACAGTGTAGTCTGCTCCTGCCCTGGACCTACACTGCATGAAGTAAACGTGAGAAAATACCTGCACGGCGACATCACCCTTTCCCTCAGGTCCAGAGTCCTTACCTGTCAGCTGAGCCGGCTGCTATTTTGCTTCCATCGGGTGACCAAGAACACCTCAGAAGATTCTATAACGATGAATAAAGAGAACTCCATTAACAGTAACATATCAAACTCCTTTAAGTTAAACTACAGAATCACTGAGATACTTTAAATTACCTTAGCTTCTTTATTTTTTAAGGTTTTTGCCATAGGGAACATATGTTCATCAGAGACAGAGAGAAAGTGAGAAATCACCCCCAGAGAGGACAGCGAAGCAGCATTTCCTGCTTTTCCATTTTTCTCTCTGAATTTTGGGCACACATGCTTATGTGCCTGGTGTGATTCTCAAGTTGCCATGTCCACGTGGGAGAGTCCAGCTCCTTAGCCACTGTATCATCTGCTGATCCCAAGACTTTAAATTTCTTAAGAGGCTCACTGGGGCTGGCAGGTGGTGTGGTGGGGAAGGGTGCTGGACTCCCCCATGGCAGTTAGAGTCCTGGACCTGGCAGTTTGCTTTCTCTTCTGCCCCTTTCACTGTGTTCCTCCTCTGGTCAAATTAAAATAAATACATAAATAAAGTTGAATAAAATAATAATAATAAAAAAGAGAAACAATTTTCTTATATTCTGTGACCCCGAACAGCATGCCAGCACACGTTTACATCATATAAAAATTGTAAAAAGTGGCTAATTTACAGTCAATGAGATTGGACCTGCTCACAAACTTTCTTCTGCATATAGAGGCTTTCTTTGCTCCATTTGTCTTGATTCTCATAAAAAATTTTTATCTTGAAGGAAAAAAAAAATAAGATTTTTTAAAAAAGAATTATTTTATTTAATTATTTATTTATTTGTTTTAATTTGGCCAGAGCGGGAGAGAGAGAGAAAGAAAGTGAAAAAGCAAGCCGTCAGGTCTAGGACTTGAACCATGGTTGGCCATGTGGGAGTCTAGCACCCTTAACCACCACACCACCTGCGGGTCCCCCCCAAAATAAGATTTAATCGTGGACCAGCAGATGGCGTAATGGTTACATTGTTGAACTCCCATGCAATTGACTGTGGTTGAAGTCCCAGACCCAGTGGCCTAAATCTTCTACCAGGTGTGTGTGCCTGTGTGCCCAAGATCCTGAGAGGAGAATGGAGACGGGGCTGTGGTGTGGCCATTCACCCCGGGAAGTGATTGCTTGCTTTCTATCTCTCTGGTGAATGCTTGCGTCCTATAGCAAAAATCTCTCTCCCTCTCAAAAAAACAAACAAAAGACATTTAATTTATAAAGTGAAATTGAATCTCAACAAGCCCTTGAAAAAAAAACATTAATCATTGTTAACAAATTTTCTGAAGGAAAAAGCTAGTTTCGAATGTCTCCGTCTTGGGCCAGCAGGTGACATGGTGGTTAAGACGCTGGATTCCCACATGACAGATTGTGGTTCAAGTCCTAGACCTGGCAGCTTATTTCCACCCATTGTCCGCCCCTGTGAGTGCATGTCCCCTATAGTAAATTAAAATAATAATAATAATAATAATGGGGCCAGCAGGTGGCACGGTAGTTAAGGCACTAGGCTCCCACATGCCTAACCATGGTTCCAGTACTGCACCTGGCAGCTTGCTTTCTCACTTTGTTCCTCTCTCTCTGTCTTTCTGATAAGAACAAATACCCAGTAGCAAAAAAAAAAAAGGGCCAGTGGATGACATAATGGTTACATTGCTAGACTCTCAAATAACTGACTGTGGTTCAAGTCCCTGACCTGGTGGCTTAAAAGTCACGCTGGGCACGTGTGTATGCATGCTCAAAATCCTGAGAATGGAGAAGGGATTGCAGCATGGCCACGCCCCCTGGGGTATTGATTTTTTGCTTTCTGTCTGTCTGAGTCTCTCCGGCAAGTGCATGTGTCCTATAGCAAAAATCTCCAAAAAAGAAAATAAAAAATTCTTTAAGGAAATAAAGTCTACATTTGGGGTGGCTCCATGGCATAGCGTAAGGGTCTACTCAAAAGACCTGGATCCCTAGGGCGACTATGGTTTGAATGTCCAGCTTGGCTCTCCTTTAGCACACCAGGCATACAAGCAAGTGCCCTGGGGGGCTTGAGAAACAGGATCACGGTGTGGCCAGACCCTGTGGGGAGTGCTCATCTCTCTCACATGCAATGAGTGCAAGCTCTATTATGAATAAAGAAAAACAAAACAAAAAAATCTAGAGTTGGCAGGTGGCATGGTGGTTGTGGCACTGGGTCCCCATGTGGGAGATCGTGGTCCAGGTCCCGAACCCAGCAGCTTGTTTTCTCATGTTCCCTCTCTCTCTCTGTTAAGTGGATATGCCCTATGGCAAAAAGAGCAGAAGGATTGGACAGAAGAAAGGAAGAAAAATAATTATTTAAAACATTTTAAATAGGGGCCAGCAGGTGGCATGGCGAAGGGCTGATGGTGGTTTGAGTCCTGGACCTGGTGGCTAGCTTTCTCAGTTTCCATTTATTTTTCTTACTCTGTCTCTATCTGGTCAAAATAAAATAAAATAAAGTTAAATGAAATAATTTTTTAAAGAGATTTTTGCTATAGGGTGTGTGCGCTCACCAGAAAGACAGAGAGAGACAGAGAGACGGAAAGCGAGAAATCACCCCCCAGAGAGGATGGCCATGCCACAATCCCTTCTCCTCCATTCTCTTCCCGGGATCTTGGGTATGCATGCACACGCGCCCGGCATGAGTTTAAGCCACTGGATCTGGAACTTAAACTGCAGTTGACTGCATGGGAATCCAGCGACATAGCCGTTACGTTAACTGCTGGTCCCTAAATGAAATAATTCTTAAAAAATTATAAATAAATAATAAACTGGGGCCATGGGGCTAACTGAGGTGAAGCGATGTATTTTTATTGTAACAGCCATGGAAGTCCAGGTCCTCTGTGGGGCGTGGACCAAAAAGGGTTGAAGTTCCAAAAAACTAAGGAACTAGGAACACTGGGACCAGCAGATGGTTTAGTGGTTATGTTGCTGGACTCACATCAAGTCAACTGCAGTCTGAGTCCCGGACCTAGCGGCTTAAAACTCACACGGGTGCCCGCATATGTGCCTAAAATCCTGAGAGGAGATTGGAGAAGGGATTGTGGTGTGGCCACTCCTGGAGTGGGGGTGGGGGGGCAATTTCTCACTTTCTGTCTGTCTAGTGAGTGTACCGCCCTATGGTAAAAATCTGTGAAAAAAGAAAAAAAAAAAAGGAAAAGAAAAAAAGAAACCAGGAACATGCTGTCTTGGGGGACTAAAGTCAGATGTCTGTGGCTGAGGGTGGGCTCCCTCACTAACTGCTACACCCACTCCCCATGTGTCTATTAGTTTTATTTCCAAGTAGTTTTGATGAAAAACAGTGTCAATGCGATGCAGCCCATTTTTATCAAAGCTCCAGCTCTCTATCCTCAGCACCACCACAAATTTAAATTTTCCTTTGATCTATTCATTTATTTAATTATTATTATTATTTTTTAAAGTTTGACCAGAAAGAAACAGAAAAAGAGTATGTGTGTGTGTGTGGGGGGGGGCGGGGCGGGGCAGTAAGAGAGCAAACCTCCAGGTCTGGGACTCAAACAGCAGTCAGCCATGTAGGAGTCCGGTACCTCAACTACCATGTGCCATCTGCTGGCCCCTGTTTCTTAGATTTAAGTGGACAGTGGAACTCCGTTGGCATGCAGAACTCACCTTCTCAAAATTGTGTACGTTCCCCTGAAATATCTTCACACACCTCTCTTTAGGGGCAAATGGTCGGACATCCCAGACACGCACTGCAAACAAAGCCAAACAAGCAGCTATCAGCCAGAGGCTTCCTGAGAGCCCAGCAGAAACCAGCATCATGGCAACGGCAGGTGGCTTCCTGGGTGGAGGAGGTTCAAAATGACACACTGCTACCTCCCGAGGCTCTTTTGCTAGTGAGAATAGAAGGCACCCAAGTCTCATTGACAGGAACTCAGGGCACAGAAAAAACTGAGAATGGGGGGGGGGATGTCGCACACACCGTTGGACGCCACAGTGCGGCTGGCTGTAACACTAACTTCTGATAAAATGTTTTGTAAGCCATCCCTCTGCCAACTCAGAGTCACACCAAAGCTTCGATATGACAATCTAAATGCCACTGTGAGGAGATCGTACACACTGGGCACCAACACGCAAGACGTGTGCGCGATCCTGGCTGGCTGGAAAGGCCGGGAGCGAGTCGCAATGTGAGATCCTGCTCAGGGTGCACTCTCTCATGAAAGGAAATAAGCTTAAAATGGGAGGAAATAAAAAAATAAAGGACCCTTTAGTTTTATTTTTTGCCACAGGGCTTGAACGGGGGGTAGGGGGAGAGAAGGCACTCTCCATGGGGAATGGTGACACTGTAGTCCTTTCTCCTCCATTTCTCCTGCCCTTTGCGATTTGGGGGATGTATCCATACAAGTCTAATGTGTTTCTCAAGTTCTGGGACTCTGGTCACACAGTGGGCTATGAGAGATTCGGTCACATTAGCTACCACACCATGGGCTGGCCTAAGAATTTGTCATTTTATTATGTACTCGTAACAAGAAATCCTATTATTTCAATAACTATTTAGGGAACCTCAATATTCCTCGCTAAAAGACAAGCCAGGATCAGTCAGTGGTAAATCTATAGACATCTGGATAAACAACTACTGCAAGCAGCAGATGCAGCTCTTGAAACTGAAGCTATACCAGCAGTTCAATTTGAGTGATGTCATCTTATTTGAGTGTGAAAAAAGTAATAATGAGGCCAGCAGGTGGCATGGTGATTGGGGTGCTGGGCTCCCACATGACGGAGCCCAGCTCCCCACTCAGTCTCTCTGGTGAGTGCATGCATGTATTCCGTAGCAAATTAAATAAAAATTAAGTGAATAATTCTTAAAAACAAACAAACAAAATAAAAACAGAAAAACACACAAAAAACGTAATAACCTCCCCTAGAGACAGTCAGGCATAAAAAGGCAAAACCATACATAAAAGTGTGCAACTGAGAGAGGACACAGCCGGAAGGTAGACACGTGCCTTCCTTCCAAACGCTTTATCAAGTACACGGGACCAGCAGGTAGCGTAACAGCCATGTCGCTGGACTCCCATGTCATCAACCGCAGTTTTAGTCCTGGACCTGGTGGCTTAAACTCACGCAGGGCGCGTGTGCGTGCATGCCCAAGACCTGAGAAGAGAATGGAGGAGAAGGGATTGCAGCCTGGCCATCCCCCCTGGGGGTGATTTCTCGCTTTCTGTCTCTCTGTCTCTGTCTGTCTGGCGAGCACATGTGCCCTATAGCAAAAACCTCTCAACAAAACAAAACAAAACAAAACAAAACAAAACAAAACAAAACACTCTTTATCAAGTATTCAGCATGCTGGGTGCTATTTTTGATATAAAATGTGAGCAAATGAATTTTAGTTTCTGACAAGCCCCAAAACTTACACACCGGGGGTATTTTTAAATTCCTCCAATGTGAAGTAAATAAGCCAACAAGTCGCCTTCTTTTTTTGCTATATTAAATGTATCCTCCCAACTATCTTACGACTCAAAAACAAGTAAAGAGAAAAGGAAGCGTGAGTGTGTGTTAATCCAGAATGCTCTGAAGCTTCAATGAGGATCTCAGAGCTCTTCTCACACCAGTGAGTTAAGAGGGGAAGGTAGACATTCTGTCAGAGAAAAGTGCAAGTCTACTCATCCCCCACGCCTGGTGCTCTCTGAAATTGTAGAGAACTGTCTGCATAGACCCCTAGACTCTCATTTTCCTTATCAAACGAATCTCCCAGAATTTTCTGTATCTGGTTAGATGCAGAGCACAAGTCAGTCTGGTCCTCTCATCAGTGAAGAAACTGATGCGAGGAGATGAGAAACGCTGTGTGCAAAGGAGCTCAAAGACTAGACGGCAGATCTGGAACTAGAGACCTGGATTCTTTTTTTTTTTAATTTTTTTGGAGAGATTTTTGAAATAGGGCACATGTGCTCGCCAGACAGACAGA